AAGAACAAAATTACAGAGTTTGTATGGAAGAAAATTGGAATTTCCAGGGTAGGGGAGTCTTTTGAAAAATTCTAAGTTTAGTAATAAAACATGGCTATGGCTCACTCATGCTTCTTGTTATACTTCTTTCATGCTTATGCCACTTCCTGCATGCTTTTACTGAACGGAGCACGGAAAAAACTGTTTTATTTGTTAAATAAACTTGAATAAAAAGGGACTTAGACTTTTACGTCTTATGAAGCAAAGGGGGTTTCCAGCAAATTTCCCATTGAATATTTAAATGAAATCACTGTTTAAGAACAATGTTTTGACCTATCATGAATAGTTGCCATATGTGATCTGATCATGACACAACTTATTTGGGCATGCATAATAATTATCACAATCACGCATCTTAAAATTTTGGCACATGTCACGCAGAAAACCATTGCCACTCAGAAACTAGTCTGGTGTCAACATGCTTTTAAGCATGGTGATGTCCATCATATGATAATATAATTATAAAGGAGTTAAGCTTCAAAAATTATACATAACATTAATTTAAACACTAATCTTCAAAATATTGAAATAACTGAAATAATATATTGCCTGAGAGAGATTGTACAATGCATCATTAAAGTCAAAGCCAAAGTTTAGGAGCAGGCGTAGCTCAGTTGGTTAGTGTGCGACCTTCAGAGCTTGAGGTCCACGGTTCGATCCTTAGGATCTCCACATCTGTTTCGACTTCTCTCTTAATCCATGTAGCTTCAGCTTTAAATACTCTTAAAACAGAGCACTGATGGAGAGAGGGGGTAAAGTGTGCACTGTCGGCTTCCATTGATAGCAGTTGAATTTCAACTGAAGGAACTACCGACGTTAAATATAGGTGCTTTACCTTTACCTTTAAGTCCCCTGGTTAAAGTTAAAGTGTTATATATTGATTTAATAGCCTGGTTTTGGTTTGTAAAAGTAGCTTAGTTATTAGGGATCTCCAACATGAGCAATACAGTATATCTGTTATATGAACAACAATATACAACTTTTCTGAAAAATTATGTTATGCATATATGTGTGTAACTCCATTTGTACTTTGTAATAAATCTTTTTATTTATTTATACACGGTAGGCTTTAAAGCTAGAAGCTTGTGGGGCCGTATATCCTCCATAAACACTCCTTAGCACATTCAAATATTCGTAACTTCATTTTCTCTCAAACATCCAGGGTTCTGCAAGAGGACAACAGCTTTTACTAATACACAGTAGGTCTCTGGAGGTTTGAGAGATCAAGGAAATACAAAGTACAAGTAAGGTTACCTATATAATATGCATGTATAGTGTTGAAATTTTTCAGAAACAGAGAAATGGTGTATTATAAATAGATTAAATACAAGACATCACTTTTACTTCGAGTTTCATGATCAGTCTGTCTGATGATCATGCAAGCATGAAACTCTGAGTAACAGTGAAAGTGATGTCATGTATTTAATCTATCTACAATCTATTACACTCTGCAACTTAATGCATCATAAGCACTCTACTGAAAGTATAGACTAAAGCATTCAGATTTATATATACACACATATATATATACAACTTCAAATGCACTGCATGATTTGCAATCCCAACTTTTTAAGAAATCATTTTAAATGATCTAACTTTTAAATATCTACATCGTATAGAAAACGTTTTGAATATCCTTTATGGATTACCTGACCAGAGCAACCATTTAATCAAAAGTTCTTTATAATAAAGTATATCACAAACCTCCAAAAATCAATATAGGGCCTTGAATGAAAATCTCTGGAGCCTCTAACACAATAGAAGCACTAGTAGAACTCCTAGATTCTGGCCTTTCTCCTTTCTTGATTGCTTTCTTCATCTTCGAAACTGACTTTAATGCGGCAAACATTATCAAATGTTTGGGCTTAATTTCTAATTGCAAATTTCTTTTTGTCAACAAATGTCGCGCCAAAGCAAAGCTGTAGCAAGGAAATGCTCCGTCTACAGTAAACTTGGCAATTTTGGTATGAAACTGGAAGAAGGGCTTGTCTCTACGACAAACAACTATACAATGAGAACTACTCAAAAAGGTTACACAGTTGAAGTTTTTTAAAGAGTATAGATGTCGGAAAACACAAAGAAAAACTGTTCTTTTAAGCAGAGGAAATAATATTTTTTCCATGAAATTAGGCAGGAAATTTGAAAGATGGGTGGTAAATGCATTTAACAAACGCACCAAACAAACTATCAAAATATTCCCTACGGCACTAAATAATAGCGGAGGAAATGTTCCTGAAGGTATTAAGGAATTATTGAATGGGATATTTTATTTTACCGGAGTTTACAAAACCGTAATTTAGAAAGCAAATCAGCTTTTTAATATTACACACACAGACATGTGTCCAAAGTAAACAATAACTGCATATCACTAATCAGTCGTGTGTAAACATTTGTATTTTATGGAAAATTAGTATTCAAAGTGTTTTCTTCGGTTAATAAATAACAAAAGGGGAACATTTTGAAGGAAAATTTAAAAGGAATGGATATGTAAGCTTACAAAACCAGGAGAAAGACAGTTTAAAAATACGTCAAAAAAATCTTACCAAGATCTTCTGGCTCTTGTGCGTTTTTCACCGGTTCTACAGGAGTTTTATCACCAGCATGTTTGTCAGCTGAAGCACTTCCCTTGTCTGACTTATCAGCGACAGTTTTTTTAGCCATTTTGCTCGAATAAAAACGTTTTTATTTGAAAATACGAAACGAAAAATGATCTTTACCTTTCGTCCGCCATTTTGAATGTGTTGCTCACTTGTTCCCATGGAGATAGTCACGTGCGAACTCGACCAATGATATGACGAGACTATTTTTCCCGCGTTATGTTTTTATTCTTTTTTATTAAAAAAGTAAATTAAGAAAAACGGAACAACTGAAGTTCCTCCAAATAAACGTTTCACAAATGCTAAATACTAATAAGAAACATTAGTATAGCCACGAGTAAAGTTTTGAAAGTTCTTGTAATTAAAGAACTTTGAAAACATTACGATCCTGCGATTTTTTGTTTCGGCCTGAGGCCGAAACAGTCACTACATTCGGTTTGCCGGACCATAATAGTCTCCGTGCGTGTCATTTAGCTGTCAGAGTTTTGGACCTAATCCAATCATATGCCGTTTCCATCATAAGCAGTGGGAAAATGTAAAACATTTCACCATGCGGAGTATTTGGGAGAGTTGCGTGAATCTTCTCTGAGGTAGTTGTGTAGACTAAAGTTATGCCCTTTCGCATGACGCCATTTTTTGGGGAAAAAATATAATATTGATTAACCCTACGACAATGCGTATTTTATTCCTAAGTCAGTATCTAGGTCCAAGTCGCCAACTAGTTAAGTCATTGAAAAGTTATCCAAAAGCTTTTGTGATTGTGCGGCAACAGTCTCAGCTACCTGTGAGCATAAGCTGAGAAAACTGGTGAGTTTATCTATGTAACTAACAGTTGATGCATATATATTTTGTGAAGCAAGCTTCCGATATGTTGTAGCTTCGTGCGCATCTGAGGACAT